TTTTTCAGACCGAGTACAAGTGCAGGGTGATTCAAAAAGATTCATCCGATTTCAAAGCACCATATTTTTGCAACCATGAGGTGCCTAGGTGCCTAGGAACCAATCATACACCAATTGAAAGAGGGGGTCATAGAGTTTCTGACTGTCACCGGAAGATGACCCCTTTCAGTCTGCGAGGAGATGGCGACCCGTGCGTTCTCCACTTCAATAAGAGTGAATCCATTATAACTGTGCAACGTGATTTTCGTTGGCAGTTAAGCTCCAACAGCTCAGAGCATTCATCATTGGTTCCACGACACTGGATGATCCAGACCCAGCAAACTATTTCAGCAGACCGAACCAAGCACTCAAAAATTCTGTTATGAGGCTGATTATTGTATGGAAAAAATAGTCATATTTTAGCAACATAGGTTGGAACCAGTGCGGCTTCTGTAGCATTCCAGGTTATCCAACCCCATGCATTTATGTAAATCAGAACAGAGACAACGGGACTAGATAAAATGAAAACAGAGAATGGCATTTTTCATTTTCATTAAAGAAGCAAGTTCATGAGGCACTTGATGATGCAATTAGGTTGGTTAGGGACCAGGAGGATTAGCTGTGAGACAGACTTGATTAAAATATGTGCAGGGTAACATGGAGCAAGAAACTCCCCAGGGTAAGATGCACCTCACTAGCCCACCCCATATTTTCTCTCCTGATCAATTGATGGGGCCAAATCTAATCTTGTCACATTTACTGAATATCTGTGGTCTAATCCGTTTAGAAATTTAATCTGGATCATGCCATTCTGAAGATTTATTCCCCTGGAATATTTTTGGCAATTCAATTACACTGATATATGCATTTATATTTACATGTTTGAGAAAAGTTGTTAAAAATATATGTTTATGAGGGGTTGTGGAGAGAGCAGTATATTTGAATTTGAAAGGAAAAACTGTTTTTATTATTTGAAAATGTAAAGTTAAACATTTTGCGTAAGAAGTCCTCCCCAAACATGGGCCAGAATGCCCCCTTCAGCAGACCGTACGAGAAATATTGTACCGTTGTGGAGAAGAAGAGTCAGAGGAGGCCATCATTTCTGCTCAATAAATGCTTTTTTAAATTTAGAATAAGGCCAAACAGCCACTGAAAAACAGCCTAAACTGCAGGGAGGTCACTTCAAGCTATACATTCTACTATAAACACTCAAATCCACACAATTAACCCCACAGCCCAACATGTTAAACCGTCACCAACACATACGCACATCTCAAACTAACACACAACAACAACTCTCTTTGTGACACATTCTCTGTAGTATAGCAGTGCTTTGTACTGTATCTGCTACATGATGCTACGGACAGTGCATCCCCTGGGGGATAAGGGTTCATTTCCCCCTATATATTTGCAAATGCCCATCTCTGAGAATTGGGTAAATGCTCCAGGTTTCAGAAAAAAGACATGAAACCTGTGAATACAGCTTCAACCAGATAATTAAGCATAAACAAAGTCTGGATTTCCTCATCGCTTCACTCAGTTCTGAACATCTGCTTCAGGGTTTCTGGGTTAGGACTTGGCTTCTTTCAGAGACTGAATGGATTTTCCTCTTCTCCCCTGAGCTGAGCAGATGGTGCAGAGGCTGACAAATTCCAACTTTTGGAAGTATCCATGTTGTGGAAACACTTCTGGTTTGAGATTCTTCTTCTGCTTTAGTAGGGATCATGGAGCTAGAAGATAAATCATGAATCCAGGACTATGCCATGGCCCCTGAGGCACATCTTTCTTTTATGAAGAGGCTTCAGCCTCATTCACGATTGGCATGCCAAGAGGAAGGCCTGCAAGGCCTCCTTCGGGGAGGATTTATTTGCCCTCCAAACCAAAGTGAATTTCAGCGTTCACTCTGGAGATGATGTACAGCTGGGTGAATTTTTCAAAAGACCAAAATTTGATTCCATGTTTGCAAACCTACTTCTCAGAAGTTCGAGTCCAGGGTAAGGGGGGTCTGTGAAGTTGAGATTACAAATGATTTGAGGGGCCAACAATGCAATTTTTCTATAGACAGCTAATTTTAAGCCCAAGGATAATAACATACTGGAACGTGATACTGGATACTGGAAGTCTGTAGGAACTTATAAGATAGTGGTGTAAATCACTGACTTCCTGATTCAATTCAGTAACAATTCTTTAGAAAATATTTCAGTGCATCGTGAAATTTCAAATGTTGCCATGAGTTGATTTATTTTATTTTTTTTTGGTACAATTATACACTGAAATACAAAAATGGGACTGAAGGAACTATTTACACAGTAGTGGAATACCGACATTGAAAACAACATACCATGTTTTTGGGAGGGATGTTGATTATAGCCTGAGAATTGCATGGCCAAAAGTCATAACATTGTGTATTGAATATTAATATAATCAGTGGCGAACCATGATGATTAGAGCTACTTCAGTTTAAGCCATAAATGTCAAGGAAAAACTACCTCTAATTTCTGCAAATGTCCATATGGGATTCTAAAAGTATGTTAGCACTAAGCTAAAAGCTATTCACAAACATTTTTTGGCATTTCAAGATTAAACATCGACTTTTGATACTAGTAAAATACATTTTGTGTTTTATCCGAAGCTTGCTAACAGACATTAACATATATTTTACCTTGTATGTCGCAGTTTTGGTGACTCTTTCTGTAAAGAGCTTTGAAATAGAGCTGCTGCTGTTGTTGATGCATTAGACCATCAGTCCAGCTCCTGAAGTCTTAACCAATGGGAGAGCTACCTTGGCTGTATCTATGTATATACCACTAAAAAATCCTGATTGGATTATTTTCTGTTGGGCAGTTCAAGAATTTAACCCATTTGTTTCCAGCTAAAACTTAACAGTGAAATAACATTGCTTCAATATTTGACTTTAATTTCAGCAACTATGATTATTCTGTTAAATTAAAATGAACTAAAAATTATAGACATATAGTTTTTAATTTCACAGAAATCGTTAGACTGACTCTGGATCCCCTCTGATTATAATTGGTTATAACTGATTATAGCAATCAATGCAGTTAAATTACCATCTTCTAATGCATCAGTGCATTTTTACATTCTTTCACAGTCCTGTCAAAACTGCCACAATATGGAACAGTATTGATCGACACTTTGTTCTCCTGTCGGTCATTTTCCAGAGTAATAGTTCTCTTACCCATCACATGACAGTGCTTCCAGTCTTTGAGGCATAAAAGCAAGAACACACATTCTTTGATGCATAAGAAAGCTGCCATAGCATCTTTTGAAGTGCCTGAAGTCTACCACTGCTAGTACTGGCCATAGAACATTGTCAAGCACCTCAAAGTGAAAGGACTCAACTTCATCACAGAGCCGTCTAGACGTCTGACTGTCTGGGGGCATAGCAGTATAAAAGAGAAGTACCTTGTCATTGTTTCCACCTACAGAAATGTGCCTAGCTCTGTTCTTAAGAGTTCCCAGCTACACCATGCTCAAGTACATTTAAAAAAGGGATTTTGGAATTTCTTTTCTTTTTTTTGTCTTTTTTGTCTTGCCCAGTATTATAGCTTGCTAGTTTTTACTGACAGTTGCATGCATTTTTTAAACGCTGCAGTTTTGCAGGAGACTTTTGCATAAAGAATGCTTTCAAATCCAAAATAGGGAAGATAGAGCCTGAGATAAGGTTGAACTGACACCATAACTGAATAAGAGACAGGATTCATACCTAAAGAAGAAATTGAGCATGAACTTTTAGTTTTCTCTGCTTCAAAATCTGTTTGAGTATCAGCCCATGAAAGATATTCACATCTGAGACTCCACTATGCCTTTTCACTGTTATAAATACTTTAGAAAATGACAGTTAACGTAGAAGATGTTGGAACACATGATGGATAGCGTCATAAATTCAAGAACTGTACCATCGCAACAACATCAAACAGAATCGTTCAGAGAGAGAATAACTGAATCCAATCCATGTCCAATATTTTCAACAGGCTAATTTGTTTCTTAAGCAACCAAATTAGCATCTTGTTGTTGTTTGGCATCTAATGATTATGATGATGATTTTCAGGATAAAAGTCAGTTTACATGGTTATGCAAACGTACAAAGTGTGTACAAGTACATATCTGCTCATGCCAATACATAAACATCTGTAAAATACAAAAATTAGGACTACGTCTACCTGGATTAGCATTACAGAGTATATAACATTTATTTCTGTAGACATGGAGTTAAATTAATAAAATTCAGATATTTTAGTATCATAGCCTAAACAGTCTGCTCTTCTGGAGTAAACAAAAACCAAGTTATTCTAACAAATATCAGTCAACTCTAGACATCTTTCTAGTGCCAATATTTTTTTATTTCAATATCATTATGAATCTTTCAAATTATGTCTTTTTGAAATTTGTTTGCTAATTTTTAATAACCACAGTTCTATGTCAGTGATACCAAAGGTCAATTACTTGTCAACCCAAAATAAATTTATAGCTAATATGCAGAACAGAATGATGATGGTAATGCTGTCATGGTGTAATGAAAAGTGTCTACAGCTGGTACTAATGTACAGTGGTAAGCCAAAGTTTAAATACCCCTGGTCAACATACACAAATTGTAGTGCACAATCTTTTTAATGTAGTTAAAAAAAACAAAACAAATTATTAAATGTGCCTTAACTTTTGCACAAGCAACATTATTTTATTTTATTTTTTTCCAATATGTTTTAACTGCCAACAGTAACTGTGCATTGAAATGTGTAGAAATGTGTTCTCTGTAGAGGATGCGTTTGCTTATTTTTTACTTAGAAGCTCAAAAGAACATTTAAATTGACCAGGGTTGCCCAAACTTTTGCATGCAACTGTATGAATTTGATTGGTTGGATGTACCCTGTTTATTACCTAGGTGCAAGATACAAGTAGTCACCTAGATGAATGATCTTTGGCCTAGATATTACTTGCCCACATTCTTTGTTCTTTAATGAATCTATCAAAAGTACATTGACATACTTCGTCTTTTGCAGATTCAGATGCATCGTTTATCCCTTCAAGCAGAAACTGACGATATCAACGGCCACGCTCATCATCGTAATCATCTGGGTCCTGGCCATATCGATCATGTGTCCCTCCGGAGTCATGCTTCAAGTTACCAAAGAGCAAACTATCCGTGTGTTTCTAGGGGATGGCAACAGGACAAGTCCTTTCTACTGGTGTCGGGAGAACTGGCCCAACCAGGAGATGAGAAAGATCTACACCACTGTTTTATTTGCCAACATATACCTAGCTCCTCTTTCCCTCATAGTGATCATGTACGCGAGGATTGGGATTACTCTGTTCAAAACTGCAGTGCCAACAGGTGGAAAGCCTGGCCATGACAACCGCCACACTGTATCCAAGAAGAAGCAGAGAGTCATCAAAATGCTTCTCATTGTGGCTTTGCTCTTCATCTTGTCCTGGTTGCCTTTGTGGACCCTGATGATGCTCACAGACTATGCCCGGCTCACTGAGCACCAGTACAGGCTTATTAACATCTACATCTATCCTTTTGCTCACTGGCTAGCCTTCTTCAACAGCAGTGTCAACCCTATAATTTACGGTTTCTTCAACGAGAACTTCCGCCGTGGATTCCAAGCCATTTTTAAGTTCAGGCTGTGCTCAGCGGGTGGCCACCGGCGGAAGACGTATTCGCATAGGGTGCAAGGTAACGCTGTGTTGCCAGCTAACCTTCAGCCCTCTACTGAGCCCATCTCCCTCAACAGTGTGGAAAACCACAGCTCCCGTAGGGTCAATCACGTGAATGAGCAAGACTTGGTCATGGAGGACCTGGAAAAGGTATCCGAAAGCAGCATAGATGGAGCTTCTCTCTAAAGAGAGGGGTTATGGAATAAAGGCATTCCAGCCACCAAGTGGTGGTAGCCAATTTTCATTACATAGTGTTATTTAATGTATGGTATGTAGTGTTTTAGCTGTATTTTGTGCTGTATACATTTGATGTGTATTCCTGTTGGGGAGTTAAGTGTTTACAAGTAATGAATTCACACCATTGCAAGTGAGCTAGCAAGCAAATAAAAATTGTTAGCTACCAGTTAAGGCCGAAAGATGAATCGTTTTTATATTGAAACTGCAATTTGAAAGAATTTCAAATGACAAAAAGCTGCAATTTTATTTACAGCTTACATTAACTTCAGTGTTGTCTTAACAAGTTTTGAGTGGGGAAGTTGAAGTTAATAACACGTAGCTCATGAACTACCTGTAGATAAGTTAGACCAATCAGAAGCAACCGAATACCTATGTGCTGTGAACAATACAAGCACAACTAACTGCCATTCAGCATTTAAACCTAAAGCCAGAAAAAAAAATGGATATATCTCATAGGGATGTACACGGGTACTCGAGTACTTAGTTAACCGTTTGAGATGCCAGTATTCAAATACTGAAATCACTGTTTGGTCACATATTTCGTTCCATCACAGGAAAATATACAGGCCAACAATTCAGTACACTGAAAAGTTTTTGCTCGTATTTGCAAGAATATATATTACATTATACACCAAAACATGAGTGCCTTAATGTGAGTGCATTGCCAAGGACATTGTTGTGGAGGATGTGGCTGGAAAGGCAGATGTCCAGAGGTCCAGAGACAATGAACCTATATTTATCTGACAAATAACATGTTGGCACATCGTTCACTGAGGAGAAAATACATTGTGTGGAAGACAACGTGTCCTCATCAGCCTACATTGTGACACTTGTTAGCTGTGTTTGCTCATTAGCTTATCTGTTAAGGTAGTCTCTGTTATTCATCCAACACAAAAACCTACCAATTTCCCTCAGTTGTTTTTGAATAGTAAAACATGCTTTCAGGTGTATTCTCCTGCATGCTGCTATATTTTTTTGCAACACCAGTGCTATGAGCTAGCAAAGTAAGCCTACAGCTGTATGTTAGTTTCAGCCAAAGTCCATTTTTTTGTTTGCCTTTGTTCTTGATCAGGAAAATATGCCTGGACTTTACTTTAAAAAATAATCACAGTTTAAATCTGAGTAACAGAAAAATCACAGTTAGATATATTCTCCAAATCATACTATGATCTATGAAAAGTATTTTTTAAAAGCCCTTTGCACACAGAATAATGGTTTTCAGCTTGGATGCATGAAAGCATCACAGCTTGTCATGTGTGTCAGGTGACTACTCACTTGCAAGTGGTGTGAATTCACATTTTGGTTATTTATGAACCCTAGTGCACCAGAACTGGTGTATTTTCCACATTTTGCATTTGATTTGAATTCCCATTTCCCAAATATATGAATGTAATTTTAAAGCATCTTGAGTTCAGAAATATCGGACTAGTACAGATTTAGAACTGTGAATAAGCTAGAGATTGACCAATCAGGCATGAGTTCTTGTAAATTTTAAAGAGATAAATTAGAAAAACTATTGCAGCACTGAGTTATTGCGAGTCGTAGGCTAACACCTTTGGCACTGGAGAGTGCAGAATGAAGTAAGTATACATTTTATTGTTGGTAATAATCTGTCATACTTATTCAGTATTATAATCATTTACAAGCACACAGAGAACACAAATCTGCCTTGTGACCTTTAATTACTGACTATTTCCAGTGTATATGTGACTTTTGACATACTGATTTATAAACAGACAGCTGAAATAATGTTGCTTGTAGAAAGACTAACAGACTTTTGACTCCAAGAATCTCTGAGAAATTATCTTTCTTCTGCTCTCTGAAAACTTGTTACCCTTATGCTGATTTAATATCACTTGTCCCTTAGAGCCCGACTGATATATATCGACTGGCTGATATCGACGACCACTGGTTTCTTGGGTATCAACGATATGTTTGCAGATACTTACAAAGTTTTTTGGGAACAGCATTGCTGGTATTCAGACTTCCAGTTTCCCGATAACAGGGGTAAACCTTATCCAAATTTTTTGTCTTGGGGCCAAAGTGGTGAGCCAAGCGGTGGGGGGTATTGGGGGGTCCTCCTCTGTCCCAAGCTCACTTTCGGGTGTGCTCAAATCAGAAATAAAAAGTGTAGTTCGCCTACATGGTCACCAAATAAGTGGACGCAGTGCATGATTTTCAAGCCATCATTCAATTTATGTAACCATTGATAAATATTAACCAGTGCTGCTAACTAGGAGAGAGCATTCTGCTCACCACAGGAAGTGTTTAATTCTGACTAACTAAAGCACCGACACAAGTTTAGATGATAATGTTCCATATCTGAGGGCAAATCTTGTAGCTGAGTGGCATAGAAGGACAGAAATTAAACCTGTTCTGTGGTGTTTGGATTTGTAGCTTGATCAGCTAACTTAACATTGGCTTAGCAAGCAGGTTACAGAACCAAACTGTGCCACCCATCACAGTACAGGTTTGAGTGTGACTGACTGGTGCTCTGAAACAAGTCAAGATGATGATGATAAAAACTAATGTCTGAGAGAGTAGAAGTTGAATGGTGTTGGATTAACAATAGCTTAGTTAGCAGGCCAAGCATGCCGCACATCCCAGCACAAGCTTGGTTCTAGCTAACTGATGCTAAAAAGACATCCAATTTGAAGGTATCTGGTGGAGTTGGAGTGAAAGCCCCCTAAAATTGGTACTGACCACAAAATGTTCATATCTGTTGGGCCCTACCGTCATGTGTTTGACATGGTATCGATACTGGCATGTGGGTGTTGAGCACTGAGCTGAGAGTCATCAATGAAATTTGTTTTTGGGGGGTTTCAAGTTGTAAGAGTTGCCTGAAAACAGTTCTCAGTTTGTCTCCCAAGTGTGATGCAGTTGTCGACATGAACATGTTTGCCCAGTGGATAATTTTGCACAGCTCTGTAACTTTGAAAGGACGTTGGGAGACACCCTGCAGGAGCTTGGTAATTAAACTTGCAAATGCACACTTTAAATGAACCTTCACTGATACATTAGTGTGAGAACGGAAGCTGCTGAGCAATCCGGATGCTTCCACTTGCTTAACTGGAAATTTTAAACGGTTCCTACACTTCTGTGACAGTTCCTGCAGTTTCTGCAGTTTTCTGCGTTCTTCAAGATTCCATGAAAAGCGGAGTAGATGTCAGAAGTTTGTTTAATTATGTGATAAACTGAAAAAAGACAACACTTTTTGCCTTTTGCCTCTCAAACAGCAGATGAGATGTTCACTGTTACTATGTTATCATCATTTTGTCACCATATGGTGTACTGCCACAGCACATCCAGTGTGTGGAGCTTATTGTGGAGTGTGGCCGATAAGTCGTATTTACTTGCGCAAGGATGTAGGATTAGAATGTAAAGAAGTGGAATAAAATTCATACAGAATAAACTTTTATTACAATCATTTGCAAGTACACCTTAACACAAATCTCCTTTGTGATATTTAACCCTTAGAAGTTGAGAATTATTATGTTTGCTATGCTCAGATGTAATTATGTAATGGCATATGTGATAATATTATATTTACAACGTGTATCAGCAGACTCAAGTCAAGTTCAAGTTTTTGTTTTTTTCCAATGTCAAGAAATTACAAAAACAGGGCAAAAACATAAAGGATGTTTTTTTTTGTGAAAACAGGATTGTGTTCACAAGGCCAAGGCCATGAGATCTGGGTGCTAGTTAGTTGGATATAGTTAGAAATTGGCAATTATTGACAGTAAGCCGATGACAAATAAGTGAACGTGGTGCATGATTTTCAAGCCATCATTCAATAGATGACAAGCCATCTGTCTAATCTATTTTACCAATTATAAATGTTAAACAGTGCTGCTCACTAGGAGAAAGCATTCTGCTCACCACAGAAAATGTTAAATTCTGACTAACTAAGGCACCGATACAAGTCGCTTCAAAGGTGATAATCACTGTTTTGTGGAAAAAATACTGATGCAGAACTGTAAAGGACTTATTTAAATTAACAGCTTGTTAAATAATATTAAATAATATATACACGCAATGTTTAATTCCCTTTTACTGTTGAAACAATGCATTGTGTCAGGGGATTATTAAGCTGTTAAGCTACAGAAGAGTAATTCCCCACTATCTCCAGAGTGCACCAAACCATCTGAGGAAAATTCTAAATATTTTTCATACAGCTTACGTGTTCTGATGGTTCAGATGAGTTGTAAAATTATGAAAATATACTTAATTGCTTCCCACAGGCATCGGTATTTGAATTCCAGAGCGGCTTACTGAACTCATTTAGAGCACATGTTGCAGTCTGAAGTTTCTCCAGCAAGGGGCTTTATTAGCAGACAAGATCCCACACCAGAAGGAGCCACAAGTGTTTGTAGTAACAACTTTTTAAAACAGGATTTGTTATATTCTTAAATATGATATTCCATTAAAGATGGTCATAAAATCTGTTAATGTTAAAAATCCACATAAGCAAAAGAAAGATTAGGAAATAAGTCTAAGCTGCAGCCGTTGTGCAGGGGTGAGTTCCTACACTTGTTTCAGTGAGCCACGATTTAGAAATACCTTAATCACCATGCTTTTGATAGTGCTGAATAAAACTGCAACTTAATTATCAACTATTTCCTGGGTAAATGTGAAAGCTGATGGCTTAGCCACACTGATTCTTGAATAACATAAATATAAAATGTTTTCCTGCACCTTAGTTTCATCCCTGTAAATTAAAGCACGCTCTGCTTGCTGTCTTCGCTTGGTGGACGTGATTACAGCAACAGATGCGGGCCACCTAGCATAACTCTGCCCTCGCAATGAACCCAGAGAGACTGATGAGGTCTCTAAACATCATTAAGAAAGCAGACCTGCTGACTGATGGCCCTCTTTCTGAAGTGAGGCTAGCAAGTAATTAGCCACTAGGTGGTGGTTGGGGGTGAAAAAAACAAAACAACTAAGCTTTTTCAAGTCAGACTCCATTGTCGCTGTTCATTATCTCCCTTAGAAAATCCAGGCTGTATTTAATGAGTGTTTTTAGTCTGGAAATAAAGAGTGTCATTGCATTTGAGGATTGCTAAGCTAACATCAGTGGTTTCTTCATTCCCTCTACATTTTGAGTCATCTTTAAACTGCAGTACCTGTGAAACCATTCATGTAAGCACTTACATTCACATCTGCTATTGTTATAAAGCTGTCAGGGCCGTGTGATACTTGTGACAATGTGGAAAATATTCTGTATATATATATATATATATATATATATATATATATATATATATATATATATATATATATATGTATATATATGGGTTTTTTATTTTAGTTGCCAAAACGTATTTTAAATGTTTTGTGATTAGATATTGAACTATAGGGCCCACTGAAGTGTTGTCCTATGAAGGTTTCAGCTGCACATCCTCATGGTTAGTGATGGGACCAATTTGAATGAGCAGTTTATATACAGTCCCTGACCTAGACAAAATACATAGTACATTGAAGACTAAATAAAAGACATTTATTTTCCATTGTACTTCAAACCATTACTTTAGTGTGAGATTAATTAAAACACATGATAAAAGTACTTGTTTTTTTTGTTTTGTTCTGAGTCAGTGAGTTTACAGCACCTGTCTAGTATGCAGAGTATCTTAGAGAGTATTTTTTTTCCACAAGCAAAGCTTTCATGTCTGTAAATGTACACTGACAGTTTTTTCAGAGGCATTTAGAATCGTCTGTGTCTTTCGTCTTTATTGAAACATTGGCTGACAAGAAAATGGCATGTCACCGGACTGACTGTGCATCGTCGGTTTTACGTATCAGTGAAGTAATGCGGGTATAATGAATAATGCAAACAAATATGCACTCTTCAAATAAAGGTTCTTGGCTTGGAAGTACAGTTAAAACTTTGAAAATGTGGAGGTTAATAAGATTTATTATATACATACATCTAATTTACAAAAATATTTTTAAAAGAACTTAAAGAGGAATTCCACTGATTTTTCAGCATAATTCAATCATTACGATCATTAAGAAAAAAAGTCTTTCACAGTAGGTTAAAGTAAAATGCACCATTCTGGAGAATGTTATACAGTG